GGGAGCCATGCACACAGTGGGCCTGCAGCTTGCGGGCAGGCACATGGAGGACTGGCAGGAAGGGGCCATGCACACAGTGGGCCTGCAGCTCACGGGCAGGCACATGGAGGACTGGCAGGAGGGAGCCATGCACACAGTGGGCCTGCAGCTCACGGGCAGGCACATGGAGGACTGGCAGGAGGGAGCCATGCACACAGTGGGCCTGCAGCTCATGGGCAGGCACATGGAGGACTGGCAGGAAGGGGCCATGCACACAGTGGGCCTGTAGCTCACAGGCCAACAGGGCACCTGGCACCTCACAGGTACGTACACAGCTGGCTTGCAGCTCACGGGCAGGCACATGGAGGACTGGCAAGGGCTGGGCGAGCAGCAGCCAGCCTGGCCGCCTGTGTAGGAGCTGGTGTCGCACATGTTGTCGAGGGCTGGCTGGGTGGGAGTGAGGGCGGAGATGTCTGCGGACTCCTTCCTTGGAGGCCTTTATACCCAGGCTTTATACCCTGCAACACAGAAGCACGACTGTTGACTTCCTCCTGCTTCCCCACGGCTGCTTCCTTCGTGTTTCCAGCACCTTCTTTCCTGGGACGCGCTCCTGTGTGAGGCTCCACGTAAACAAGCTTGGCTCCGAGGCCGGGCCCCTCTGTAAACAGGGAGTTCTGGTTTGACCACGTGGGCGCCGGAGGTTCCTTCAGGCCATTCCTGTGCACCAAGCGCCTGGCTCGCTCAGAGAACCGTGTCCTTCTGGCCGCTGGTGTCTCCTGCCCTCAGAGAAGACTGAGGCAGTCATGCAGGCTGAGCGTGTGTCCCGCACAGGAAGCCTTAAAGCGGCTCTGCAAGCTGCAGTCCGCAAGAAGGAGCTGGCTGCTGCCCGTGTGTGGATAAAAGCTTGTGGACGCAGCCACGTTCGTGTCCCCGCGTCTGTCTGGGCCTGCTGAGGCTCAAGCCGCTGAGCAGTTCAGGAGAGACCTGGTGTCAGCAAAGCCTGGAATGCTCACCATCTGTCCTTTGCAGAGAGTTTGCCCAAGATCTAGGCAGACATTGACTTGTTTGTGCGACAAGTAGCCCACCCCACTTGCAGGCAGGGGAGCCACCAGGCCTCGGAGCCTTCCAGGGCAAGGAGTAAAGGAGCAGACGGGGAAATTCATGCACAAAGTAAGTCTGGGAGGAAAATGGGTGGCAGACAGGGAGTGAGGGGGCTGGCGGGCGGCGGGGCCTCCCTGAGGAGGCGATGCTGAGCTGCAGTGGGCGACCTGAAGGGTGGCAGTGTCCCAGGCAGAGCACCCGGGGTGTGAGGGCACTGCCGCAGAGCGGGCACGCTCAGGGAGCCATGGGGAGTCAGCTGTAACGATATTGTGGCTTGTAGGTTGCTGGCTTTCACGTGTGTCCACATTCCTGCATCTCACTTGCCTTAGGTTATGAAGGAAGTAGAACCTTTAAAATATTTTCAAAAAATATATTTTATTGATTTTTTTTTTTTACAGAGAGGAAGGTAGAGGGATAGAGAGTCAGAAACATCGATGAGAGAGAGTCATCAATCAGCTGCCTCTTGCACACCCCATACTGGGGATGTGCCCGCAACCAAGGTACATGCCCTTGACCGGAATCGAACCTGGACCTTTCAGTCCGCAGGCCGACGCCTATCTACTGAGCCAAACCAATTTCGGCTAAAATATTTTTAATTGAACTTATTGTGGTGACATTAGTTAATAAAATTGTATAGATTTAAGGTGTATGAATCTAGCATGCATCACCTGTATGCTGTGTTGTGTGTTCACCACCTCAAGCCAAGTCTCTGTCCGTCACCAGTGACCCCTTCCACCCTCTCCTGCCGCCCCACACCCCGGTTCTCTCCGATAATCACCATACTGTTGTCTGTCTATGAGGCTTTTTTTCTCTGTTTTGCTTAATCCCTTCACCTTTTTCCCCCAACCCCCAGCCCCACCCCTCTGACGGCTGTGAGTCTGTTTCTATTTTGTTTGTTAGTTTATTTGGTTCATTAGATTTCACATGCAAATGTGGCGTTTGTCTTTCTCTAACTGGCTTATTTCACTTAGCGTAATACTCTTCCGGTCCGTCCATGCTGTCGTCAAAAGTAATATTTAATTCTTTTGGATGGCTGAGTGGTATTCCATGGTGCAAATGTCCCAAAGATTTAAAAAAAAAATTTTTTTATTTTATTGATTTCAGAGAGGAAGGGAGAGAGAGAGAGAGAGAGAGAGAGAGATCAATGATGAGAGAGAATCATTGATCGGCTGCCTCCTGCACTCCCCTTACTGGGGATTGAGCCTGCAACCCAGGCATATGCCCTTGACCGGAATCGAACCTGGGACCTTTCAGTGCGCAGGCCGACGGACTATCCACTGAGCCAGGCCGGCTAGGGCTGTCTCACAGCTTTTTATCCACTCACCTACTGATGGGTACCTAGGCTGCTTCCAAATCTTGGCTACTATAAATAACATTGCAATAAACACAGGGATGCATATAGTCCGCTGAATTAGTGTTTTGGGTTTCTTCAGATATATATACCCAGAAGTAGAATCACTGGGTCATAAGGCAGCTCCATTTCTCTTTTCATTTTTATTTTTTAAATATATTTTTATTGATTTCAGAGAGGAAGGGAGAGGGAGAGGAAGTTAGAAACATCAGTGATGAGAATCATTGATCAGCTGCCTTGTGCATGCCCCCTACTGGGGAACAAATCCACAACTTGGGCATGTGCCCTTGAATGGAATCAAACCAGGGACCCTTCAGGCTGACACTCTATCCACTGAGCTACACCAGCCAGGGCAAGGCAGCTCCATGTTTAACTTTGGAGGAAGCTCCACAGTGGCTGTGCCAGCCGGCATTCCCACCAACAGTGCACGAGGGTTCCCTCTCCAGAGCATCCTCGTCAGCACCAGAAATGAAGTAGCGCCTTCCCCCATCTTTTTAGCTCTGTGCTCTGAAGGGTTAGTTCCTCAGGCCTTTGTCCATTTATCCATAAAGATGGTCAGATGGTTTTTAGGATTTGAGTGGGAAAGTAGCAGGTGCAGGTTTTTTTGTATTTTTTTAAAAATATATTTTATTGATTTTTTTTTTTTTACAGAGAGGAAGAGAGGGATAGAGAGTTAGAAACATCGATGAGAGAGAATCATCGATCAGCTGCCTCTTACACCCTCCCCCACTGGGGATGTGCCTTCAATCAAAGTACATGCCTTTGACTGGAATTGAACCTGAGACCGTTCAGTCCGCAGGCCGACGCTCTATCCACTGAGCCAAACCGGTTTCCGCTGCAGGTGCAGTTTTGAGTGAGCTCAGCCCAGCTGAGAGATTTGAGTCCAGGCAGGTTTGTGATCCAGCCATTTCCTCTTTAAGGCCCTCTTAGGGTTTTCACTTAGTCCCCTCTTTCCCTGTGTAGAGCTAATGTGGGGTGAGGGGAGGGGGGCTTACAGGCTCCCCTGCACCCACCTCCCACCCCCAAAGGTGTCTTCTGATCCTGGTCCTGCTCGCTGTTCCCGGACCAGTCTGCTGGCCTCCGCTGTCCCCTGCCCCTATGGTCCTCCTGGCTGTGCTCTAGATGAGGGCATAGGGATGAGAGGCCCCCCGTGCTGCCTGGTCAGTCTGACTCCAGTACCAGTGGTCCACTGAGACCGCAGGCTCTTCCTCCCCCACAGTCTCGAGTGTTTGTTCACAGGCGTCTTTTTGCTCTTGCCTCGCAGGCAGGCCTTGAAGCCTTGAGTGGAATGAGTGATGTCTGAACTAAGCTTTGTGTCCCTCTTGGGGCCCACAGGGTCTTGTTGATGCTCAGAGCCTCGGCCCCTGTGCCAGCCCCTGTGTCCGAACAGCGTGCAGGCGCTCTCTGTGCAGGCACCTCTCCAGGGAGGTCAGCTCGGTGCTAGGTACTGGGCTGTCAGCTCCTGATCAACAGGGTGTCTGCTGCTCCCAACCCCCCTTCACCTGGACGGGCAGGGGAATGGATGTGGGCAGGAGCCCACGTCCACTCAGGTCCATGCCTCCAGCACCCACACCCGCCTCCTGGCCCAGCCTTGGAGGGCTGCCCACTGCGGGCAGGGTGGGCTGCTGGGTCGGGAAGGGAGAGGAGCATGCAGGTGCCTCCCTTTCAGATCTCTGAACATGGGTTGGAGAGCACGTCTTTATTGTCTGGCTCCTGCCAGGCGGAGCACCAGAGCCCAGGTTGGGAGTGGCCCAGGGGGCCCGGGAAGAAGAAAGCAAACACATTTCCCAGCACAACATTTTATTGATTTAGCCATTGGCTCTAGTCATGTGGAAAGCACGCCACCAGGCCTGCAGAGGAGGCTCTGGGGCCCCAAGTCCACCCCAGTGAGGGGTTTGTGGGTCATCTCTCCTCAAAAAGGGATGGGGGCACGTTCACTTCTGCATTAGGCAATGACTGTGGGATCACCGACGGGAGAGGGGAGGGCTGGCACCAGCAGAGGGTGGAGGGGGAGGGCTGGCACCAGCAGAGGGTGGAGGGGGAGGGCTGTCACTAGCAGAGGGTGGGACAGGGGAGGGCTGACACCAGCAGAGGGTGGGACAGGGTAGGGCTGACACCAGCAGAGGGTGGAGGGGGAGGGCTGTCACTAGCAGAGGGTGGGACAGGGGAGGGCTGACACCAGCAGAGGGTGGGAGAGGGGAGGGCTGGCATCAGCAGAGGGTGGGAGAGGGGAGGGCTGGCACCAGCAGAGGGTGGAGGGGGAGGGCTGGCATCAGCAGAGGGTGGGAGAGGGGAGGGTCTGGCACTAGCAGAGGGTGGAAGGGGAGGGCTGGCACCGGCAGAGGGTGGAGGGGGAGGCCTGGCACCAGCAGAGGGTGGGAGGGCGGAGGGCTGGTACCAGCAGAGGGTGGAGGGGGAGGGCTTTCACTAGCAGAGGGTGGGACAGGGGAGGGCTGACACCAGCAGAGGGTGGGAGGGAGGAAGGCTGGTACCAGTAGAGGGGCTCTGGGGCGAGGAAAACTGTGCTCAGGAGCAAGGACAGCAGCCAAGAGGCAGAAGATGGAGCTGCTCAGCAGCAGGCCGGGCGGGAGCACACGGGGCGGCAGATCAGGGACATGCAGGAGGACGGGCGGCAGCAGCTGGGCTGGCAGGAGGAGGTGGGGCCACAGCAGGAGGAGGCGGGCACGCAGCAGGCAGGCCTGCACACGGGGCGGCAGATGACAGACATGCAGGAGGAGGGTCTGCAGCAGGACGAGGTGCAGGAGGTGGGCTGGCATGAGAAGGCAGGGCCACAGCAGGAGGAGGCAGGGCCACAGCAGGTAGGTCTGCACACGGGGCGGCAGATGAGGGACACGCAGGAGGAGGGTCTGCAGCAGGATGAGGTGCAGGAGGTGGGCTGGCAGCACGAGGAGGCCCCAGAGCAGACGGGCACGCAGCACAGGGGCTTGCAGCAGACCGGTGTGCAGCAGACGGGCTGGCAGGGGCAGGAGGTGCAGCAGGTGGGCTGGCAGCAGCTGGGCACACAGCAGGTGGGGACCCAGCAGCTGGAGGTGCAGCAGGAGGGCGCACAGCAGCTCTCTGGACAGTCATCCGCCTGCCAGGAGGATTCAGTACAAGAATCACAGGAGCCAGGCTGGCAGGCAAGGCTGTCATAGCTCAGGTCACTGGAGCAGACGGACAGGGTGGAGGCAGCCATTGTGAGGTGGTGGAGCTGGAAGTGAGCTGGGGGGTGGGGTGTGAGTGTGTGTGTAAGTGAGTGTGTGAGGTGCTTGCTCTGTGGGTTTTTATACCCTCCCAGTGTGTGTGTGTGTGTGTGTGTGTGTGTGTGTGTGTGTGTTGCCCCAGCAGGAGGCTCCCACGCTCTCCCTTCCTCGTTGGTGTTTAGAAGGTTGCAGGAGAACCCTCATTACTGCTGGCTTATTTTCTATAATTAGGCTTTACTCATTCAAGTTGTGAGTGTGTTGCAGGACTCTGTTTTCCCATCTGTTCTTTTCTTGGCTCCACAGGACTTGTGAAAAGCATGAGGGAAGTTTTTGCTGAGTGACTGTCGCTAATGTCACGTTCACGGGAGGATGAGGTGTGAAATAAACTCACAGCCACCAACAGCCTCCGTCTCGCCAGTGTGCCCGTGCGAGGACACTGTGGGAAAGATGCTCAGCGCCGTCACAGCTCAAGCCATAAAGCACCCGAGAGGATGGTGAAGAGGGCTGGACACGAACAAAACAGAAAACACTGACCAAAAAATACACAGTGTAAGCCCACTGGGGACCTGAGATAGTCAAGGGCAAAAACTCAGCGCTATATAGTCCTCCACTCTCCCCGGTCAGTCCACCATTGGTGTAATTTCAATCGAAACCCAAAGGGAATCTTTTTGGTATACAAACTGGAGATCTAAAACTCCCAGAAAATGCTGAGAACAGAAGTTAGCTTAATAAATGCGAGAAGTTCGTCAGAAAGCTGATGGACATTTTCAGCAGGGCTGAAAATCTGCATGTTATTACCTGCTGCTGAACAGCTGTAGGCATTTCCCCTAACCTGATTATCTTTTCCTGTTTACCGAACTTTACCTTGGATATGTCTGTTTGCATCTCTAAAGGGCCAGTGTGTTTTCCAGTGGGTCCCGAGAGTCGGGGAGCCACTCCTCTTGAGAGTGAAGCCTCATCTGGCTCTCCCATGCCTTCCAAATTTATATTTCTTGCTGGGACCGGTTTGGCTCAATGGATAGAGCGTCGGCTTGGGGACTGAAGGGTCCCGGGTTCGATTCCGGTCAAGGGCATGTACCTTGGTTGCGGGCACATCCCCAGTAGGGGGTGTGCAAGAGGCAGCTGATTGATGACTCTCTCTCGTCGATGTTTCTAACTCTCTATCTCTCTCCCTTCCTCTCTGTACAAAATTAATAAAATATATTTTTAAAAAAATTTATATTTCTTGTCTAGACTCTATTCATTTATGCGTCAACCCCTTTTCGCTGAACCTTTGCAGCAAAAAGACTGGCAAGAAAATATTTGTAATATGCATGGTAGATGAAAGGTTAGTGTGAAAATGAAAAAATTCGCCGAAACCAGTTTGGCTCAGTGGATAGAGCATTGACCTGCGGACTCAGAGGTCCAGGTCAAGGACATGTACCTGGGTGGGAGGTGTGCAGGAGGTGGCTGATCGATGATTCTCTCTCATTGATGTTTCTAGCTCTCTTATCCTTCTCATTTCCTCTCTGTAAAAAATCAATAAAATATATTTTTTTAAAAAGAAAAAGAAAATGAAAAAATCCTTACAACCAAACTAGGATAAGACACAAAAGAATCAACTACAAAATTCAAACATTGAAATTTGCTAAAGCACATGAAAAGCTACTCGACCTCGTTAATATTTATAACACCTCAGATTGAAACAGAGCTGTCCTCCCCTGTAAAATCAACCAAGACTTACAGCACTGATCATGTCCAGAGCTGTTAGTGTCGGGCCTCGCGCTTAGAAACTCTTAGCAGGCGTGTTTTTCATGTGTGCATGATAACACATGCTATAAAATGTACCACTTTAGCCATTTAAAAATGTATAATTCGGTGGCATTTAGTACAGTATGGTGTTTGTGCAGCCATGACCACTCTCTAGTTCCAGATCATTCTCATCACTCCAAATGAAATCCTATGCTATCAAGCAGCCCCTTCCTGTCCCTGCCAATCACTACTCTGCTTTCCTTCCCTATGGATTTGCCCATTCTACACATTTCATGGAAAACGAATCATACAAGATGTGCCTTTCAGGTCTGCTTATTTCATTGAATGTAAAGTTTTCAAGGTTCATCACGTGTCAGTGTTTCACTCCTTTTTACAGCTGAATAACATTCCATTGTATGGACATGCCACATTTTATTAGTCTATCTTGACTTGGGTCAGGGTGGGGTTGGTGTTGGGGTGAAAAATAAGTTTCAGAGGCTTTTACCCCACCTCCCTCCATATGACTACTCCTCCTCCAAAGCCTAGTAAGGAATGTTAGTAGAATCAGCTACCAACGATGTCCATTTATACATCCAGGGACCTAGGAAAGACCACTGGGTTGGTCTGTGAGCCCAGGGGATTCACTCTGAGAGCGATATCGCCAGGACTCCACTTACTACCTGCCCTCCCCATGTCTCCTTTTGTCAGGGAGCTCATAATGGTGTTTCAGGACTCCAGTATCCATCTGAACTTGAACCCTGTATTCAATAGTCCTTGTAATCTAGGGTATTCCTTTTTTTTTTTTTTTCCTGGTGTATTGTTATATGTCTGAATTCTGGAAGGGGAAGGACTATGTGCATTGGTCTTGATTGCAAGGATCTTTCCTTCTGGGATGGGAGCATTTACACCAAGGACATTGGCAACACTACAAATAATGACCTAACACATCCCTTGCATTCTCTTTAAAATCTGTAAATGACAAAAACAGAAATCGAGCCCAAATGATGATCAGAAAGGGGAGGGCAAGCACCTCAATAGAAAGTCCTGATCCCTTCCTTGTCCAGCTTCTGGACCCAAGCCAGTCCTCAGACTGGAACATCTTGATTGCATCCAGTATACAGTTTCCAGTCGTGTAACAACCAGCTCTCAAGCTTCTTGCGTATTTAATATTCAAGCTAGCACAAGTCAGCTCCAGCTAGCGCCAGCACTCCTGGCAGGGATCTCTACCATGCCCCCGGGCATGCTGTGTTCTCAAAACCACCTCCAACAGCTCCCGGCCAGGTCCCTTCACAGAGGTCTGGCTTTCATCCCTGTGCCTCCCCACTCTTTGCTTACTCCCCCTACCGGTCATAGCTTTATTAAGTTTTGGGTTATTTTTTCTTTGTTTTTTAATATCACCAAAAATATGCGTGTATGGTTCCCCTTTCTTACACAGAGGGTGGCATGTTGTACACATTGGCCTGCACCTTGCATTTTTCACTTACCGATATACCCTGGGGATCACACTATAGCGGTTATGGAGACCCTCCCCATCCCTTTGTTAGAGTGTCTTTGGGATAGATTCCTAGAGTTTATTATTTATTAGATATGACCCGGTCATTATGTCAGTTTGCTGGACAGTCTCATATTCCTCTCTGTATTGCTTGTTCCATTTTGCATTCCTACAGACAGTTCTCCCAACTGGATGTGGCTTCTTATCAATCTGACTAGAGGCCTGATGCACAAAAATCCGTGCAGGCGTAGGCCTTCCTTCCCCCAGCTACCAGCACAGCTTCCGTCTGGTCCAGGCTTCATCCTGAAGGACGTCTGGAAGGACACCCAGAGGACGCCCAGTCTAATTAGCACATTACCCTTTTATTATTCTAGACTAGAGGCCTGGTGCACGGATTTATGCACCGGTGTGATCCCTCAGCCTGGCCTGCGTCCTCTCGCAATCCCGGACCCCTTGGGAAATTGTCGGACTGCCGGTTTTGGCCCAATACCCACAGGCTGTTTTGGGGATGTCAGCCTGGTTCTCTGTTCTTAGAGAGATGAAGCTCCGCCCTCTCTCTTTCATCTCCCGCCCCCAAATGTGCCAGGAGCAGTCCAGGCTGTCCACGGGACTATGGGACTAATGGAAATAGGAATTCTATTGATGACAATATGAGACACAGATGAGAATGCCTCTCCCCCCCCCCCTCCGGCTGCATTTGGGGTGCCAGGTCAGACACAGATGAGAATGCTCCCCTATTTGGCTGCATTTGGGGTGCCAGAGGGGCTGGGAGGGGGTCTGGAGGTAATGGACAGAACAGGGATCTAGCATAGATGTGCCCTGTGCCACCAACCCCTGGTGCCCCTCCTTCCCATGGAGATGGGGTTGGTTTCTTGGCTGTTCTCTAGGAAGCCCAGTGGATAGAACGTGGGCCTGCAGACTAAAGGGTACCGGGTTCAATTCCAGTCAGGGCACATGCCTGGGTTATGGGCTCAACCCCTAGTAGGGAGTGTGCAGGAGGCAGCTGATCCATGATTCTCTCTCATCATTGATGTTTCTCTCTCTCTCCCTCCCTTTCCCTTCCTCTCTGAAATCAGTAAAAATCTATTAAAAAAGAAAAAAAAGAACCCACATAACTCTTCCTCAGGGGGGCAGGAGGGCGCTGTGCATGTGACCCGTGACCAGTGCCCGCTGCTGGTCACTTCCCCCGGAATACAGCTGGGTGGGTTCTGCCAGCAGCTGAGGGTTTGGCAAGCACCAGGGAATGAGGTCACCCTGTGATCTGTCAGGAGGCTCACTGGGCACGTGAGGTCACGGGCTTCATGTGAGATCACGGGCTTCATGTGAGGTCACAGGCTTCATGTGAGGTCACAGGCTTCATGTGAGGTCACGGGCTTCATGTGAGGTCACAGGCTTCATGTGACCTCCCCGTGGAGTCCCGCCACCTCCAGGCGGGCAGGGCAAGCACTCCCTGCGCAGCCGCCACCTGCAGGCACAGCCAGTGTGAGAGCAGGACTCACCCACCTGGAATGTCAATATTTGGGTTCAGGATGATCGAGTTCATACACCAGTTATTCTTGTGAAACAGGAAGAAAAACGAAAATACGTCTCTGATTAAAATCAGGGCTGTTTTAGGTGGAAACACCTCCGGCCCTGCCCCCTGGTTATCTTATCATTGTTAGTAAAGGTTTTCTAATGAACCCTCTCTCCCCTTTATCCTCCACCCACCAGCCATCTGGTCGCCCTACACTGGGTGTAAAGGTTAGATGAAGAATAAGCCCTAATTCATGG